TTAAATTCTTATCTCCACCTGAAATGTTAGAATTAAATCAATTAAAAGATTGTTCTATTTCTCAAACTATTAATTGATTAACTCCTCAATTATATTTTCTTAAAGAAGAAATTAATTATAAAAGAATTGATCAACAATTAACTGATCCCGTTATTATTTCTCAAATTAATGAATTTAAGCTAAAATTAGAAACTACTGTAAACAGAAGTACAATGGGCTGCCAAGTCATGCAAAAATGGGGACCAAAAGAGAGATATAACATGAAGTGTATAAAATATACCTCAAACCATGAAAATACCTTAATGAAACATGAAGAATGGGCCAAAATAAGACTATTTTTAGTTCTGTAAAATGACCAAAAACGGAAGCACAAGGGGCTGCCAAGGCATGCAAAAATGGGGACCAAAAAGGGATATAACATGAAGTGGCAGATGGAGGTCCCAAACAGTGATGAGCCCTTCTTCAATGTTGAAGAGGGGCTCAAAATAAGCCTATTTACAGTTTACATCATGCTCCAAAACAGATCACATATAGGCTAAAAACATCATGCAAGAAAATGGCATTCAAGAAGGATATTGAAGCAAGTGCAATATGGGGGCTTCAAACAGTGTTGAGCCCTTAATAAAAAGTGAAAAAGAGCTCATAATAAGGCCACTTTCAGTTAGAGCCAGAGCTCAAAACAATACGCATATATGGCTTAAAAATGACACAAGAAATGGACAAAAAATGGGGAAATGAAACTCACCCTTGAAGACAAGTCTTTGGTTGCTTCTTGGCTTGAGAAGTGATGCCTCCTTGCTGCTGGAAAGCCTCTCAAGCTTCTGGAAATGGAGTAGTGGTGGTGGTGCTTGGTGGTGGTGAAGAAATGAGGTAGAACTTAGGAGTTTTCAAGGAAAAAATAAGAGAGATGGATGGAGATATGTATGTATATGCTTGAAGCAATTTTTCTCAACCCCTAATACAAGAGATGGCAGCTGGTTATATGGACCAAGGAGAGGGGGAGCATGGAGGGAAAGGGTGGGGGAAAAGGACCAAGTCCTTTCCCTAAAGGCTGTTTCCCTCGGATACAGATCTTTTTGGGGAAAAAAGTATACAGCTGTAAAGTGCACAACCTAGGGATTATGGCCGGCCACCTTTTGGAGCTGGACGTGGCCGGCCGGCCACCTCTTATGGCCGGCCGAGCAAGGGTCAAAAGGGTCAATGAGAATTAGTAGCCGGCCATATGATATTGGTGGCCTCCCAGGTCCCCTCATCACAACCCTGTGGTTCAAAATTGCAAACTGTAAAACAAGAGAGAGAATAGGCCATTTTTAGGAGGGGTTCAAAAGGGTCAAGTTGAATTAGTGGCTGACCACCAACTTTTAGGGTCCTCCCATGTGTGTACAACACAAATATGTGGTTAAAAGTTCAAGAAAATGGCCCAAGGGTGTTCAACATTGGCTCAAAAGTGAGAAAAACGGGCGTCGGAGGGCGTTGGAGGATATATAACTGGTTGCTGAAATAATTGCTGGCCTCCCACCCTTCTACGGCCTTCCTGGGGATGAAACAGAGGTACCTACCAAAAATGAACGAAAACCGATGCAAAATGAATGTTCGGGGGGCCAAAACGCGCAGTTCGAGGCCCCGAAAACTGCCTGTTAAACACCGAAAGTGGCATTCGGCCACGAAGTGGGTCTCTCAGACCCCAATGTCCCTCAAAAGGGGGCAAATAAGATGTATGCCAAAATTTAGAGCAAACGGAGATGGTTAAGTGGTCCCGAACCGAGGCACACGACCAACGGTCCCGAAAAATCGAAAATCGGGCTCCGAAATGGGCAAAATGGCCTACGGCCACCAAATGTAGCCCATGGCCACTGAGAGATGGTCTACGGGACCTCTCCCTCCCCTCAGGAAAAGAAACAGAGAAAACCGAGTCTGGTTCGCAAACCGAGGCAAGGTAAAGAAGAGGGTTCGGAAGTCCGGAGGCAAGGCTCACGGCCGCGACTCTGAGACTTCTGAACGAGCACGATATGCCACATCACCAAGTGCTCAATCGGTGACGTCTGAGTCTTAAGGTCGGTCAAAAATGGGGTGTCTACAACATGACGCTCAAGATGAATGGTCCTAGAAAAGTAAAGTTCTCTAAGTGACTTGGCTTTTTTAGCGAATGGAAAACGGTTGAAGTTATATTGCAGGTAGGGGTGTGCGTGGTGCGGGTCGGTGCGGTTTGAGAGAAAAATAGAAACCGTATGGCGGGTGGCGGATTGATAAAAATGTCACTAGAATTTACCATTTTCCTTATCAAAAATCGGCGGTTCGGTTGGCAAATAATGGCGGATTTGCCTTGGCGGTTTGGGCGGATTAGCGGTTTATAAAAAATATAATTCAAATTACAAAACTTAAATCAAAGAGTAAAAAAAAGATGAGAGATACCGTGATGTTAAGCATCTTGCGAAGCTTTCTTCTGATGCAGCAAGTGTAGCAACAACATGATAATATCAACGACTATGCCTTCAATTCATTACAAGCATCAGTGGAAGCTACAATGATCAAATACAATACATAAAATTAATATCATTCAGGATTTACAATATATTGAAAATGTTTACTGTTGAAAAGTATTCAGATTGAAAAGTGAGCTGATGCAAGTTTGCAATATGGAAAAAAAAAAAAAAAAGATTGAAAAGTGAATTGGAATCCAACTTTATTTTAGATTACTGACATATTGAATTCCCCTCGAGCAGTAATGTAATACTATATTCTAAGGTATAGAACAACAAGCAAACTTAAGTAAAAAAGAATTTTTAGAATCTTATAAAACATGATTTAATAGCGGCGCGGGTCGGTGCGGTTTTGAAGAAAAATAGAAACCAGCATATTGATAAAAGTGTCACTAAAATTTGCCATTTTTCTTATCAAAAGCCGGCGGTTCGATTGGCAAATAATAACAAATTTGCCTTGGCGGTGCGGTTCGATGCGGTTTTGGCGATTTCGGTGGTATTATGCACACCCCTAATTGTAGGAGGTTAGTAGTGGACTTGCGGCATTTAGCGGTAGAGGAGGACATAACTAAAACCAAGAAGACAACAACCCCAACAACACAGATAATCACCCCCAAAACACAAAGGTCAAACGCATTAGTATCCAAAAGAAAAATAGTAGTAACACAACCAGATGAACAAAATGTAAACCCAAAAGCAACTGGGTACCAAAAGAAAAAAAACCAACATAGTATCATTCTAAGCACCAGAGATAGAAATTAGTAACAAGACCAACAAAAAAAAAAAAAAATATACCAAACCAATGACACTAAAAACAGGAGTAAGCAAGACAGGCCGTTAGTATCTAAGCAATAGAAAACACAAGAAACCAAGTAGAAATAGTCAGCACGCGCAAATCCTCTGTGGAAGTGTGTAAACCAGTACAGAACAAGAAGAAACACTGAAACCAAGCCACCACAACCAAAATCCAAACCAAACCAAGAATGACAGATCAAAAATAAAAAAATAAAAAAATAAAATAAAGGAAAGAGACTTACCAGAAACAAAGATGGAAGGGAAGAGCACCAAAAAACAAGCCAAACCACGACGCAATCTAAGCCCGTGAAGATTGCAATCGAAGCCCTAGGAGAGAGAGAGAGAGAGAGAGAGAGAAATTTGAGGGAAAATGGATTAAAAAGTCGAGGGTTGGGTTTATATAGCAAGATAGTCTGCTCGAGCAAGGGACTTGCCGCTCGAGCGATCTTACTTACGCGCAAACTACGCTCAAGCCTAGACTCATGCGCTTGAGCGCAAAAAAATAAGCTCACAGAAGTTTGACGGCTTTGCAAAAAAGCTGGATGAGAGATATCTTCGCTCGAGCAGGGAAGAAAAATCAACAAACGTAAAATACACCCGTCTGAGCAATTAAAACCAACTCACACTGTCAAGTGAGACCTGAAACAAAAAGAGGTGGACACAATAGCAACAATATGACACTAAGATGAGATAATCCACAAACCATGAAGCCTGCAAACTTGCAATTTTGACAATATGAAGCATAGTATTAGGTAAGCATTGATCAATGATCATAAGCTACATGAGAATACATAACTCAAAGACAAACATGAGAGATCACATAATGAACGTGTGTGTGTGTGTATGTGCAATCCTTGAGAGCCCACAGAGCTAGAGTTAATCCTCATAGTGATCGGATGGCTAGACCTCTGGCAAGAGTAACTAAACATCATTGAGAAAAGTCAAACCACTAGACATCAAGGGATATTTGTTGAGAAAACGGAGGCTCCCCCTCAATCAATGAGTCCTTTTTTTTATTATTTGATTTTTGACTTATCTTTCTTATGGGCACTCACTGGTGGCATGCACACTCAAAAGTATGGAGACCAAACCAGAGAAGTATGAAAACAATAAGGAAGGCCTGGTTGGTGCCTTTGAGGTAGCCTTTTCCTAATGCCCGGACTTCAAAGAACCGAGGGAGGAATCATGGAAGTGAAAAATGATAGAAGATGGTTAAGAGACTCAACATCACCCATGATATGCCGGTATAGGTCAATTCTTCTAAACATGTATTGGAGACATTGTTAGAAGTCCATAAAGAACTTTGATCACTTGTGCGGAAACCATTGCAACAGTTTATCTCAAGGATGTGTACAGAATGAGATCATGAATTCAATGAGTATAGGCATTTAGAATGAACTATGAACAAAGAAGAATAAAATCTTGCAAGCAGCATGCGAAGTGTTCATATGAGTCTAAATGCAGATGTGGTAGGAATCAATGGCAATGAGATTATAGCATCCAAGTACACACAAAGCCAATCTCTCTCACCCACTCAAGTAACAAGTCACACCCTAGTGACTAAGCATTACACCCAAGGTCTTTCTAAGGAACTCAAACCGAAGAAGATCAAGAGATTTTGTAAAAATATCAGCCTTTTGATACTCAGTGGGTACATGTTTAAGAACAACAAGGCCTTTTTTCACTAACTCTCGAATGAAATGATGACGAATGTTAATGTGTTTAGTGCGAGAGTGTTGGATAGGATTTTTAGAAATGTTAATGGCACTTGTATTATCATAGAAAAGGGTTAGAGTGTCCTAGTCAATGCCATAATCATGAAGCATTTGCTTCATCCACAACATGTGCACAACAACTCCCTACAACAATGTCCTCAGTCTCAGCAGTCAAACGAGATATGGCATTTTTCTTTTTGCTATGCCAAGCAACCAAATTATTCCCAAGGTAAAAACACCCTCCGGATCTGCTCTTACGATTATCAGCACACCTTGCCCAATCGGCATCAGAAAAACCAGTGATCTTAGCAGTAGTGTCGGTCGTGAACCAAATCCCATACCCCAATGTCCCATTAACATACTTAATAATGCGTTTGACCGCAAGCAGATGAGACTCTTTAGGACATGCTTGGTATCGAGCACAAACACCTACACTAAATGCAATGTCAGGTCGACAGGCTGTGAGGTACAAAAGACTCCATATCATACTCCTATAGAGGGTAAGATCAACATCAGTACCAGAGGAATCTTTGGAAATGTGAAGACTGGTGTTCATAGGAGTACGTGCATGTTTGGCCAACTCTAGATCAAACTTAGACACAAGGTTTTTGGCATAGTTGGTCTGAGAGACAAACATACCCGAAAGAGATTGTTTAATTTGAAGACCCAAGAAGTAAAACAACTCCCCCATCATGCTCATTTCAAACTCATGTATCATGCAATCCGAGAAATATTTCACAAGAAAATCAATAGTGGATCCAAACATAATATCATCAACATAAATCAGAGCAACAAGTATTTGAGACTTAGTATATTTCACAAATAAGGTCTTGTCCACATTACCCCTTTGAAAATCATTATCAAGAAGAAAGGTAGTAAGTCTGTCATACCAAGCCCTTACTATCATATCAAGCCCGAGGGGCTTGTTTCAACCCATACAACGCCTTGTCTAACTTGTAGACATGATGTGGACATTTTGGGTCCTCAAACCCTTTTAGTTGCTCAATATAAGCCTCTTCTTTCAAGTAACCATTCCGGAAGGCACTTTGCACGTCTATTTGAAACAATTTGAACCCAAGAAAGCATGCAATACCAAGTAAAATACAAACAGATTCGAGACGTGTAACAAGGGAAAACATCTCATCATAATCAACACCCTCTACTTGAGCATACCCTTGAGATACCAACCTCGCTTTATTTCTAACCACAGTACCATTCTCATCAAATTTATTTTTAAAGATCCACTTGGTACCTATCACATTCATGTCTCTAGGTCTTGAAACAAGAGTTTAAACTTTGTTATGTTCAGATTGACCTAATTTTTCATGCATAGCATTAACCCAACTATCATCTAGTAAGGCCTCTTTTATATTTTTAGGTTCAATTAACCACACATAGCACATATGAGATACCTCTTCCCGAATTTGTTTTCAGGTTTTTATTTTGTCTGAGACACTTCCAATCACTTGTTGAGCTGGATGATTCAGTTTTACCATTGCTGATAGTTTTAACTCGGGAGCATCAGAGGTGGTGTCTCTTTGTGCACTCTTTGGACTCGGACTCACCATTGAAGTTGGTGCGGCTCACCTTATTGAGCTTGACCCTATGCTTCTCCTTATCTTTGTGGTTCAGTATCCAAGATTGGAGACTCACCATATTCTTCCTCATGTATTGCTGGCATAGGAGAACCTGTGTCATCTATAACCACATTGATTGATTCCATTAGAGATAAAGTGCGCAGGTTATAGACACGAAAAGTGGTTGAATATCCTAGAAAAATACCATTATCACTTCGGGAGTCAAATTTGCCCAAAGGCTCTCTATCTTTGAAATGTAACATTTACTCTCAAAATTTTTGAAATATTTTACATTAGGTTTCAACTCTTTCCACAGTTCATATGGAGTTTGTAAAGTGCCGAGCCTTAAATACACACGATTCACAACATAAACAGTGATATTTAAGGCTTCAGCTCAGAACTTAGGAAGAACTTTCTTGCTAAGTAGCATGACCCTAGCCATCTCTTAAACTACCCTGTTCTTCCTCTCAATAACTCCATTTTGCTGTGGAGTAATCGGTGCAGAAAACTCATGCTTAATTTCATGCATATTACAAAAATCTGAAAACGAACTATATTCAAATTCACGACCATGATCAGTTCAGATTCTTATGATACGCCCAATAGAAACACCCTGTTCATTTTGGATTTTAAGGACTAAAGCTTGGAAAGCATCAAACGTATCAGATTTTTCTCTTAAAAAATTAACCTATGAAAAACGAGTATAATCATCAACAGTTAAGAATATGTATCTTTTACCTCCAATGCTTTCAATACGAGTAGGTCCCATAAGATCCATATGAACTAGTTCAAGAGGACGTTTGGTTGTGAAGCTATTCACCTTTTTATGAGGGGCACAAGTTTGCTTCCCAAGTTAACATGATCCACACACATGGTTCACATTCTTACCCATTTTGGGTACTCCTCTCACAAGCTCTTTGTTGGTAATCTTAGTTAGATCTTTGAAATTCATGTGACCTAATCTTTGATGCCACAAGTCAAGATTACTTATGATGGCTGAATGGCAAGTGAGATCATTTTGTGGTAACAATCCCATAGCAACAATTATCAAATATACGAACCCCATGCATGACAATATTTCCCTTCTTATCCAAAATTTCACATTTAGTTTTTGAAAATAATACTTCATGGTGGGAATCATACATTTGACCAATGCTCAAAATATTTGCTTTAAGGCCATCAACAAGTAATGCATTTTCGAGCTTGGGAAGATCGGTCACACTTATAAAGCCTTTACCAATTACTCTAGAAGTGCCACCATCTCCAAAAGTAACAATTCCTCATTCATATTTTTCAAGAGATGTGAAATAGGATTTGTCACCAGACATGTGACGAGAGCACCCACTATCTAGATACCACATGTGTGAGTCACGTGCTTTCAAAGCAGTGTGAACAACGAAACAAGTTTAAGTCACTCTTTTTCACCCATATCTCTTTGGTCTGAACAGAAGCAGGATTGGCAATCTTGGTAAATGTCTTAGTATTGTGAACACCATCATGAATCTTGGTGCTCCGCCTAGACATGTAAGGTTGTCTCCTAACCCATGAAGTATTAGAATTTCTAATTTTTTTAGACACCTTACCAAACAACTCGTAACAATAAGGACGAATGTGGCCATACCTACCACAATGATGACAAACAAAAATAGGTTTTACCTCCCTTTTGTTGATCTTACCCCCTTTTGGTTGATGAAAAGAGGAATTACCCTGTTGAACCTTCAGTTTACCCTTTGCTTGAGTCTTCAGGTCATGTGATGTAGAGGTCTGTCCCTTTTGAACTGTTGTATTAGCATAGTCTATCCCACTTTTGTTGCAACTCATCTATTAAGACCCGAGGAAGTCTTCCAGTGGCTTTGACCCTTTGTTCCACATAGCAATTGTGGCTCTAGCATCTTTGAATTCTTCTTCTTTCTGACTGACCATCTCTTCTAATGCAACTTGTGACATCTGAAGGATTTTATTCTTCTTTTCATATGTGGCATAGATTTTCAGAAGTTCATTCATTTCGGTTTCACAACACAGAATTTTTTCACATAGATCTTGCCTGTCATTGGAGATCTTGATGACATCATGTTTTGCTTTTGTAACCTCTCCCTTTAGCTTGACATTCTCACTTTCGCACGCTTTAAGCTTGAAAGTCAGTTTGTTATTGATCTTGAACAAGTTCAGAGATTTATTGTAAAGCTTTTCATAAGCTTGTTGTAGGTCATCGCCATCAATCTCATCATTGTCTTCCGAGGTTTTATCATCTTCTTTTTGCTCCTATTTCTTTTTGATCTCATCCAGTCAAGCAACTAAACCATGAAAGTTGATGGATGGTTGTGAAGATGACTCACCTCTTTCATAGACTAGACTAAGAATGTCCTATGCATCTTTGGCCTTAGTACAGTGAGTAATTCGTCGTTGTTCTTCTTTAGAAATTGCTTCACAAATTGTATTCAGAACTCTTTGATTGCTCGGATTGTCAGCACCTTCAGCACCCTCTTCAATTACTTGCCAACCTTCAAGGTCATAAACTCAAAGATACATCCTCATTCATATCTTCCAGAATAAGTAATCACTCCCATCAATGGTAGGAGCACAGTGAAGACTCTGACCATGAGAAAACTCAATTGGCTTTGGAGATGGTTGAGTGACAATAGACCAGAATGCCATGTAGGTACTATCCCCATTTTCATTGGATTAGGTTTCTTCAGGTTCTTGCTCTGACCTGCTTTTATCATCCCAAGTCACAGTATAGACTTTCTTGCAGTTTTTTTTTTTTTGTGGACATTCAAGTGCAATATGTCCAAACCCTTGACATTCATAACACTTGACACCTTGCCCCTTCACAGCCTTCTTCTCAATATTTGGAGCAATTTTTGGTGAAAAAGTTTTAAAATTTTCATTACCCTTATCTTTTGAACTAGAGTCCTTAAAATTCGGCTTCTTTTTCTTTAAATTTTTTTAAAACTGTTTGGCAAAACATCACCGTCATTTCGGACTCTAGATCAAACTTAACCTCAGGGGTCTTAGTAATCTCATGAGCACTGGTAAAAGACACACTATCTTTTTGTTTTTTCTTAGAAATCTGGTGGGCTTCATAAGTCTGCAAGTTTCTAACCAACTGATCAAGCTTGAGGTTCTCAACATCCTGAGCCTCCTCAATAGCTATCACTTTTGATTGGAACCTCTCGGGTAAAGACCTCAAAAATTTTCCAACAACCTTCAATTCAAGGATTTTTTTCACCGCGTGTGAAATAGGAATTCACGATGTTACTAAGTTTAGCATAAAAATCATCAAACGTCTCATCATCATGCATAAAAAGAGTTTCAAAAGAGGAGGTGAGACATTGAAGTTTTGATTTTTTAACAGCAGTACTCGTGAATAGTTTCAAGAATGTCCCAAGCCTCTTTTGCTACCTCACATGTATAAATACGACGAAACTCTTCTGGTGTGACAGAGCAAAAGAAGGAATTGAGAGTTTTATTGTTTCAACTCGAATTTTGATAATCGATTACGTCCCAACTATTGAGTGGTTTAGGGATATCAGCACCATCAATGATGATAACAGGTTCACTCTACCCATAGAGCACACGGTGCCAAACTTTTTCATCAATAGATTTTAAAAACGCCCTCATACGAGCTTTCCAATAAGAATAGTTTGTACCATCGAGTAACGGAGGTCTATGGGTCGAGTTACCTTCGCGAATTGAATTTATATCACAAGTCACACAAAATCACACTCCTATAGTTTTGAGAAAAACAAAGAGTGACCTGCTCCAACACCAATTGAAAAACCTAAGTAATTCGTGATTCAGATCAAGATTAATTGCAACAATGCCCAAACAATTAAAATCGACAATCTAAATCATCTAGCATATACGAAAATGATTTAGATTGTTGCTTCAAAATCAATCAATTAACACAATAGATTTTTACGTGGAAAAATCACAATTGGAGCACCTTCAATTGTGATTAAAAAAAATAACGAGCTAAACGCCACTAATCAATCCACTATGAAAGAAAAAAAGAATTCAAATTTACCGAACAAATTACCCAAACTCTGACAATTTGTCTTCAACAATCTATATCTCTTACACCGCAACCTTCGTCTCAGAATTGATCAGATTGATGTTGAATCCACAACATTCATGTCAAATCAATGACTGCGCACAGCTTCGAACTTCTTCGAATACTCCACGCTTGAATCTTTGGATTCCACCGAAGAAGAACACTCTTGAAATAGAACACTCAGACAACCAAACTCGTTGATGTATGTTTGTCAAACCATATGAGTTTAATACTTAATCAAACATCAAAGAAAACTAGCAAAAAAGCCCCAGCAGAAAACCCTAGAACCCTTAAAGAAAATCTGGAAGTAGCACACTAGATTCGAAGCAAACTACAGATTTATAGCAGTTAAGAACGTGGTCTCCGCTCGAGCACAGGACTTGCCGCTTGAGCGGCGACACTAAAATGCGTGTTCCAAACCAGGGTCCACGCTCGAGCATAAAATCACACCTCACAGTATTTTTGTAGATGAGCCAAAGTATTGAGAAGGTGGAAACGCCGCTCGAGCACAACTTTCCTCGCTCGAGCAAGAAGACTAAAAACAGAGGAAAAATTACAACTCGATTAACCCAAGCTTGTTCGTGAAATTGGCAATAATTAGGGTCCTAACAGCTTCATTGTGAGTTGATTCAATACCCACAAGTTTGGTTCAAAGTTCTTATTCCCAGTGGTTACCAAGGTTGTAATTGATTCAATTCCAAAAGCAAATCAAATTATATAAAACAATATATATGAAAAATCTAAAAGAGGGCTTTTATTTTAATTAGCTTACGTTGACAAAGAAACGATATTTATGAAAAAGAGAAACAGAGGAATGTTGGCTGGTTTATTAAATTATGCTTTGGATGCTCTGAAGAGTGTGAGTGAGAATGGCCAAGAATACAAAGAGCTTTTTCAAGTGTGTGGACTTTGATGGTGAGTTTTAGGTGAGATCGTTCTTGTTTGGAGCTAGATTTTCATTGTATTTATTTATTTATTTATTTTTGCAAAGGGTTCGGACTCTTTGAAATAGGCTAGAATTTTTGAGATTGGAATTGTGGAAGCCCAATGAGTCTGGATCCTCTGTCGTGCTCCTCTGCCATGATTTCTGTGGTGCCCCAAAACGATATCGTTTTGAGACAAAATTTCACCAAAATAAATAAATAAATAAACAAATAGAACCCTTCTTCTTCTTCTTTTTCTTCTTATTCTTCCTCCTCCTTTCTCTCACTAAAACTACCAACCCATCGACAACCCACCACCGCCACCCCCATAGTCGCAAGCCCCCTTATCTCCCCACTATCTCGATCTTTTCTCCTCTTTTCTTTTCTCTTTCAGCTCTCAAACCAAAGAGACAAAGATGGACGGTGAGGCGACGGCCGAAGAGGAAGTGGAGTGCTACTAGTGTATCGGAGGGAGTTCATTGGTCATCCTCGTTGTTGGTCGTCAATTGTCCCCCTAGTTTCAACCTAGATTTGAAATGCAGAAAGATGGGTTTATGAAGAAAAGTAAAGTTTCAAAATCTCTATGAAAGATTTGAGATCCAAAATCAAAGAGGTGGAGAAAAAAAAATTTAGATTGTTTGTTCGTCACTTTTGTTTGTATTGATCTAATTTTTAGTCAATTTTGATTTATCATTTGGAATGTTCGTTTAAAGTGTTAATATGCATATATATATATATATATATATACATACACACATATATACATCTCAAATTTTTTTAATCTCAAATTTTTGTTTGAATGGTTGTTGATGTTGGTGTTCTTTTGAGTGGTGGTGAGAAATGAAGGGTTTTGCTCAGAAATCATCTACTGGTGTCGTGGCGGCTACAGTTCGTTGGCTGTGGGGTTATTTCCCTCTTTCTCTTTCTTTGGTTTTTCTTTTTTTTTTTTCCTCTTGGAATTTTAAAATTTTCCCCAAAACAACGTCGTTTTGGGACACTGCAGGAACCACCACAGGAGATCACGACCGGAGATCCAAACTCAAGTCCAATGGGCCTACATCGACTTTAATGCCTTGTCAACTTAGGCTCCTCCATTGTCCACTCATGGTTAGGCCTAGAACTGTGCAAAATACCATTCAATCCGTTAAAATGGTATCGATCCACATCAATCTATACCGTTGTATCTGCTAACTCGGGTTTAAATTTTAAAATTTGTAATCCACCTTTGAAACTGCACCACTCTGCTATAGGTAATACATATATATTTTTTAACCTATAATGAGATATCAAAGTAAAAATGAGTTTAAGACAGATTTAAAATGTAAAATTTATTACAAATAAGTAGTTATATATATGAAAAATATAATGTAAAATTAGTTTGTATTATATATATGAAAAATATTGTGCAAATTAGAGTTATATATTATGCAAAGGTTTGATAATTAGTTAAAATATTTTTCAATTTGTCAATCTGCTAATTCGTTCAAAACCGCACAAACCGCAATTTGTTAATCCGCCAATCCACCATTTGGTTTATAATTTTCCTCTCAAACCGCCCGAACAACACCACGGAGTTAGGCCTGTTATTAGGAATGGCAATAGACGAGGCTGGTTTATAATCCCCTATTCCAGTCCTCTATTTTGTTGGGGGCGGATATGGAGCAGTGGCAGGAATGTGTTGAAATAATTTTTCTTGTTAAAGAGGGTATGATAAAACTCAACTTAAATATCTCATGTCAATATATAACATAAAAATGAAATTTTTGCACAAAAAAAAACCAAGATGATCCCAAAAATACATCCATGTTTGATACAAAAGTTTGAAAAGTCATATTACAATCTCATTTAGTGCCCAATTGAAATTTAACTTTCTTAGAGCATTCGCATTAACCTAAACAAAATTCAAGTCAAATATAACCTAAAATTCATTTTTGTATTTTAGTTAGTCTCTTTTTTATGTACACATTTTAGTGAACTTTCTATTTTAAAATTTTATTTCATTAAAATATACTTTTTTATTTTTATTTTTTTTTATAATTTTTTTAATTATATTTTATTCATAATCTCATGTGAACATTGTATTGATAAGAGATATAGAGGTTGTAAAATCTATTAAACTAAGACAATATTAACATGTGAAATAATAAATACAATATTATTATTGTATTGACAAAAGTTAGAAGAAAAAAACACCAAAGTAATGATAATATAAATAAAGATAAATATCATCTAAAAAAAATAATAAATAAATGAATTAAAAAATGTAAAGCCAGTGTACGGTAACTTGTCAGTCTTGACGAGTTTAGTGTTGGTTAAGGACATTTTCGTGAGACTTGGGCGAGTCTAATGGAGTCCAATTCAAAGCTTCAAGCTAGACAAAGTAGCAAATGGAGATCTTAATTTAATCTTTTGCAAAAACTCGACTTTTACAAGGAAAAAAAGAAAAAGAAAAGCACTCATCGATATCTCAACAACTCAAAACAAAGAACTGGAATGTAAAACTATTATTAGGTTTGAGTTTGGCCTTGAGTTTTAAAATATTTTTTTTTAAATATTTTATTTTTTAAGTGTATTTAGATTAGGTGATTGTAAAAAATTAAAATTAAACTAAGTGAATAATTTAAAAAACTAAAAGTAAAATTAAATCCAAATGAAACATAAGAAAAAATACAAGTGTTATAGTGATAGTTATGAATATTTGTTGTGTTATGTGATAATAGAGTAATGATACATACCTCTAATTTGAGAACTCTAAGGTCATGTTTGTTTGGGTGGACATGAGCTTGGGATTGGACTAATAGTCCAATAAAATTATTAATCCGATATTTGATTAAACAATTGAAGTACGGACTAATAATTTTAAACTTGACTATTAGTTAAGATAGGATACATAATCCAACAGATTCGTAGTCCTAGGACTATTAGTCATGGGAATGTTAATTCAGTCCGCCCAAACAAACATGGCCTAAGATTATTATTATTTTGGTTCTTGTCATTATTGGAACACCACTTGCATAATCTCCAATGAAATGCAAGGCATGGCTGACATGAAAATAAAAGGTCGACACTCTTTAGTCACATTCATTGTCACTCTCAAAGTCACAAGCTATCCATGACATAACATTCATTATCCTCATGTTGTCTACGCCACAAAAATCACAGAAATCCCTTCCCTGCCATCACAACCTCAGACCCCAAATCCATATTTTTTTTAAAAATTAAATTAAATCAAATGCACATAATTGAATTATAGAATTAAAAACGATATGAATCTCACTCAATATAAAAAGGTGATATCTGATTTTAAATTATTGAAGTAGAATTTGTGATAGGCTCTACGTGTCCAAATAATATAATTCAATTGAATTCGTGACAGGCTCTGCATGTCCAAATAATATAATTCAATTTATTTTGTGAACTCAAAATAATCTGGTTTGTTATTTATAAATGTTTGGAACTCCTTACTTGTTATATGAATTGGGCCATGTTTGGGCCATGAGTCCACCATGAGCCCTACCTTAATAATTTAAATTATTTATTTTTTATTTCATAACATAAAGATTATTCATGAAAAAAATCAAGTTGATCAAACAATCGTGATTACGTTAGTTTATAATAATTATTTCCAAAAACATACATGACAAATATTATTTAAAAATTAGATAATTTATTTTTTATGAGACAAATTTAATAAATTAACACAACTATGATTATTGAATCAAGTTGAAATTTTTTCACGAATAATCTATACGTTATGATTTAAAAAATGAATAATTCAAATTATCAAAGTAATACCGCAGCGAATCCTACGAACCCAAACAACATAGTCCAATCCACAAAATCTATTGGTTTCGTTTGGGATGTGAGTTGGCTTTTTAGCTATTTTAATCTGGGGCTAAAAAGTTTCTTTTGGGACAAGTTTTTTGACTTTTTTAAGAGAAAAAATAAAATGATTATGGTTTAGATGTGACATTTTATCTTATTAGGCTAAAAACTTTATTTTATCTTTTTATTACTATTTTAGTCCAAAAAAAACCCAAAAAATTATATGCCAAACGAAAACAAAATGGAGGGGATAAATTACATGAAATAATATCATAATTGTATAACTGTATATATTACCACGCTCACATAAATATATGATGATGATTGTCGAAACATTATAGAACATGTCCCTACAAAGGCACGCACACGACAATAAACTTGAAAGAGAGAATACAATGGGTGCTTTGCTAGGTGGGATAAATATAATGGCCGGCCCATATATCCCATTACAGGCCTGCACTCATCATCACCCTCCCTTCTCTCTCTCTCTCTCGTTTAAATTCAGTCATACTTCTCTTCTCCTCCCTATATAAATTCATTTAATTTATCACCCCTGTTCTTCAATCATTGAATATGGCTAGAAATTTAGCTGATCAAAAATGGGTACTAAACCCCACCATCTCTATTGAAAATGAAGTCGAAGAAGACAACGAAGAAGAAGCATTGTCGTTTTGTGATCTTCCCATAAACGGCGACATTCAATCAACAAAACAAGAACCACAATCAGTTGTAGATGACTTCCACTTTGGCCGCTCTGTTTTTGCAGAACCCGAAATGTGTGCTGCCGATGAGCTCTTCTTTCAGGGCCAGATTGTTCCATTACGCCACTCTGTAAGCTCCGACAGCAATCTCCTTATATTCCCAATACATAGGTCCAAGTCCATGGACAATTGTTATTTTGGAAGGTTCAACAGCGTCAGCAGTAGAAGCAGCAGTCAACATTCTTCAAGCAGTGCCAGTTCTACAGCCACTGCCTCCGCTGCCACCACTTACAAGCAAAGAGTCCGAAACCGGTTTCATTCACAGCCAAGTCCTAGTCCGAATCCCCGAACACGGATTTCAAGCGGCCAGTATGGAAATTTGAGCCACCGGAGTCGTAAATTGACCACATGGAGCCTATTCAGACCAGGTTTGGTCCGGACACCAAAGATCGAATTGCAAGATCTCAAGGTTCGAAGCAGTAGCACCAGAACACAGAAACCCATCACAGAATCGAACACATTCATTTCACATGAGATGAGTCCCATCTTTCTGCGGACTCCTTATCTATGTGAAGGAGTTATGTCTGATTCTGTAATCGATTTCTGTATAAGTAGAAGTACTAGTACGAGCAATAGAACCAGTGGCGACAGTGATGACAGAGACAAGAATGGTTCTTCCAAGATTGAGAGGAAGAAGAAGAAGAAAAAGAAGCAAAGGTTAGTAGATAGGAATGGAACATTGTTTGGTGGTTGTAAGTGTACGGTTGATGCAGTTGAGACAGTACCTTCGCAAGATCAAAAAGTTCAAGCAAAGAAGAAGAAGAATCGAACGTTTGAATGGTTGAAGGAGCTTTCACTTGCTGACATACAAGATGAAGCATAGATTCACTCTTCTTGTTTATGTCATTATTTTTTTGAACTCTGTTTTGTTTGTTTTGTGCTTGTAAAAGTGTTTTTAATTTGAAGTAATGGATTTGGAAAAGAACTGTTTTCATATGGTAATCAACCTTAATAGTCATGCTTAATTATTAGGTGGATAGCCTGAAGTTCGAAATAGTCAAGCGAATTTACCTAAAAGAAGGTGCAAGCGTCACAAGTGGACTGAATTGGTGGACCAATTCAACAATCGGGTCAGTATGCTGAGTTGACCAGGTGATCGAATCAAGCATGAGAAAGGTAAGTATTGGACAGTTTGCTCGGTTGGAAACCTAAGCCTATGTTTGGCAAGAAGGTTTGGGTGAGTTTGGGGCTAAAATAGCCACAAAAAATAAAATAGGCTATTTTAGCCACAAAAAACAAAACATCAAATCCAACCCTTAATCATTACAATCCTCTCTCACAAAAAAAGCCAAAAAAGCCAAAAAGCCAAAAAGCCCTTCCCAAACCAGGCTAAAATAGCCCAGGCTAAAAAAGCCAAAAAGCCAAAAAGCCAACCCACTTCCCAAACGGAGGCTTAAAAAGTTAAAAAGTTATTAAATTAGTTAAAAAGTTAATAATTTATATTAAAAAGTCAAAGATTTTCTTTTTTCTCTATTTTTTACACATCTTCTCGTAAAAAGTTAAAAAGTCATCCCAAACATATTAGTTTTTTTTAGCTCATATTTTAGCCAAATAGTTAAAAAATTACTAAATTAGCATGTTTCCAAACGGGGCCTAATCTTTGGAAACAGTGTAATTCTTTATTATAATTTAATTGATTAATTCTTAACCTCTTGTGACAAAATAAATAAATAAATAAATAAAATTCTATGAACGCTATTAGGAATATAAGACAACTACAGATTATGAGCCATGACTGGAAAATCATATTTCCTTATCTTGCTCTACGGGTTTAGATCTATTTGATTATCGAAAGATTTTTTATTGGCACTATACTAGGATTACTTGAAAATTACTGTTTCTGTTAATTTCAAATTGCTTAAAGCTCGTACTTACTAGTCTCGTAATAAAAATAAATAAATAAAAAAAGATATCCATTTTATTTCATTTTCGAATTTTTTTGAGTTGGTGGTTAACTATTATTTTTGTGTTAGAATTTAGTTATTAGTGGTAGTTTAAGGCCTCGTTTGGGAATAATTTTTTTTAGTAATTTTTTTGACTAAAATATAATTAAAAAAAAATTAGTATGTTTAGAATGACTTTTTACGAAAAGATGTGAAAAAAAAAATTTGACTTTTTAATATGAATTATTAATTTTTTAATTTTTTTTATTAACTTTTTAATTTTTTAATTAAAAAAGTCACTTGTCATACGAGGACTAATTATGAGAGTAGGCTAGCTGTGAAGGGTGTATATGATCAAATTCAGAGTGGCTTTGGGTGTGGTGGTGCTGCTTGTTATGATTAAAGTGTAGACTTTGATGCTTTTCTCTGTGCTCCCGTGGTGTGCAACAATGCCAATTTTTTTACTGCTAAATAGTACCCAATAAGGTCTCACTTGACCTTTGGTCCACACCACAATAGTGTCCCTTTTTTTTTTGCACATCACAATAGTGCCCCTTGATTCTGTGTTTTGAGCAATGTCAGGATCTTAAATATTCTGTCAATAATTTTATCAAACACTCATATTAAAATATAGAATTTGCACTTATGTCAGTGTTTGATAGAGTTTTTTATAAAATATTTAGAGTCTAGCATTTTTATGCTTGGAAAAAAGTTACATATTTAAAAATATTGTCAAAATTTTTATTTAGAACGATAATATTTACTTGAAAATGAATGGGTGTATTATAGGGTTTACATATCATAAATTTTTTGAATATAAAATATTTTTCTTGATTTAAATATGTGATTGAACTTGGTTCAAATCGTGCTGATCTTGTATTATCACATAGCACTAATGTCAAGTCAAAACATGAAAATGTGTTTTGTTTAGCGTAGTTTCAAGTTCTTTTTAGAATAATTTTCTATAAACTGTGTGTGTCAATTTCTGATTACACTGTCAATCAAGTACTCAGCTGGAAAACACTAGTAGAATAGATTAAGCCCAAACGACCTGTCACAAAAAGAAGAGATTTCGGCGGTGGTTCGTCAACCCGGGGACAGTCCGACGATCAAGTCAATTATCTCTCAAAGATAGCAAAAGTGCTTAACTCACTATTCAGAGCCTAAAAAGCATACGCATGAGGGTGTCTCTCTTTTATAGCCAACACAAACTTAGTCCCAATAGAAGCCTAGCTTCAATGGACTTAGGATTACTGCTAATCTTGGACTCCTAGTTGGATTGGGATAAACTCTTTAAGAGTCTTATCTTTACCCAAACTGAAGTCTTCTCTCATTCTAGGACTCTTGTCCCTTATCCGTTTATCTCGGATTCTGGTATCTTCACAGAAAACCTCAGCCTAGCCGAGATGATCTCGGCGTCATGACCAGGACACGTGGCACCTCGGCTGGTACTTCAGTGACACCTCGGCCACGTGTTGTCATTCAAAAATTATGTCCCCACAACTGCTCCCTAGGTTCTATTACCTCGGCATCCTGAGGTGATGGAACCTATATCATTCATTCCTTTAATCATGACCCCAGTTTAACATCAGCTTGTAAATTTTTCTTAAAATTTCAACAAGTGTTAAACATATCATCGATTTAACTTTAACTTGTAAATTTTTCTTAAAATTTCAACAAGTATTAAACATGACCTCGGTTTAACTTCAACTTGTAAATTTTTCATAAAATTTCAACAAGTGTTAAACCAATCTTAGCTTGTAAATTCCAACTCCCAAGCATCATTCTCCAGCCCTCTTTGGTGCACTACTTCCAGTGTCATTGTGAGTCCTTTTGGACCTCCATCCATTGGTCGTGTCGAAACAGAGTTCTTTCCCCTGAACATCCCGATATTTTTTGGTGCAGGTTTCTTTTGTTCGGCGTGTCTTCTGGGATTCTCCATGCCTGACCTCCCACGAAGGCCGGTGAGAATGTCCCTTGGTCTCGCCATGCTGAGGGACTGTAAGAACCGTTTTCTGCCCCTCTTTCTGGGCACCTTTCTTGGCCGCTGGAATCGGCGTATCTTGTAGCAAGAACGGTGGCTGCATGACGTTGTTCTGCATCATGAAATTGACGACCGTTTGCAGGTCCGCCAATTTGTCCTCCATTTCCTTCATCTCGTTATCTCTCCGCAGGCATCTATCCTTCCATACCTGCAGGTCATCCTCGTTATAATACCCACTTCAGTCTGATTTCTTTAGCACGTTGCCCTCCTGACCGATGTCTTTTTCTCCGTGATTATTATTACGAGTCTCTTCATTGCAGTTGTCTTCTTCGACGTCAAGGTTAATGTATTTCTCGATCCCAGTAGGGGTGTCGTCCCCAACCTTCTCTTTCTGTCTGTCGTTGGCTATCTATTCTCCTTTCTTTTCCACAGATGATGCCAAATTGTGTGTGTCAATTGCCAACCACACTGCCAATCAAGCACTCAGCTGGAGAACACTGGCAGAATAGATTAAGCCCGAACGACCTGTCACAAAAAGAAGATATTCCGGCGGTGATTCGTCCACCCAGGGGCACTCCGGCGATCAAGTCAGTTATCTCTCAAAGATAGCAAAAGTGCTTAACTCATTATTCAGAGCCTAAAAAGCATACCTTAGATCCATGAGGGTGCCTCTCTTTTATAGCCAACACAAACCTAATCCTAATAGAAACCTAGTTTCAATGGACTTAGGATTACTGCTAATCTTGGACTTCTAGTAGGATTGGGATAAACTCTCTAAGAGTCTTATCTTTACTCAAATTGAAGTTCTCTCTTATTTTAGGACTCCTGTCCCTTATCAATTTATCCCAGATTCTGGTATCTTCGCAGATAACCTCGGCCTAACCGAGATGATCTCGGCATCATGACCAGGACACGTGGCATCTCGGCTAGCACTTCGATAACACCTCGGCCACGTGTTGTCATTCAAAAATTATGTCCCCACATAAACAATCACATAAGAGTTCAGATTCTCTCCTTATATCATCTCTTTGAGTTCCTACTTGGGACGGTCCATATGCACCCAAATAGATTTGGCGGTCCAGATTTTCCTAAAAAAAAAAAAAAAAAAATTCAAAAGAAATTGAAAATGGCCCTCACGGTTATAAACACTTTTTTGACCTCACTCGCACTCAGCCTCACCCTCACCCTCACCCTCACCGCTTCTCCTCCACCAAACCCAACCTCACCGGCGACCCACTCTTGACGACGAGCCACTCTCGACGATGGTGACGTACTCCTAAAACCTAGTGACACACTCCACCAAGAACAGTGGCCCCAAGAATATCCTAAAACAGAGAAGTCGCATTCCAAATCATCTCACATCACTACCTGAAATGGTGATTACCCATGAGAATACATCTCCAAATATTCAGCATTGATCGGAAAAGGCAAGAGTGTGGTTGAGTTGATCGGGAGCAGAATGATTTTGTAAATTGTTTTTATGTAGAAAAACTAAAAACTGCTTTGAGAAGTACATGACATGGAGGTTGAACTCCAAATTGAGATTGCCAGAGATAATTTCCCTCAATAGTAGTATTATGTAGGCAAGAAAACATTGTAAAATTGTGCAACTGAGTTTCAGGAGTGGGCCACCATCGTCGGGAGTGGGTCGTCAGTGAGGCTAGGTTCGGTGGAGGAGAAGATCGTGGGGGTGAGGGTGAGGGTGAGGGTAAGGGTGAGGGTGAGGGTGAGTGAGGGAAATTTTGGTTTCGATGAGTGAGAGTGAGGGTTCCCTAGTTTATAAATCAAAGTGAGATGAATTTTTTTTTTTTTTTTGGGCAGATTTGGACCGCTAGATCCATTTGGGTGCATCTGGACCGTCTCAAGTAGGAACTCAATGAGAGGGTATAAGGAAAGGATCTAAACTCATCACATAAGAGAGATAAATGACTCTTTTTATAGCGATCCCGGGTTTTTCCCTTTATGTACAGTATTCTGGACTTAGGTTCCGCAGTTGACTATTGTTGCATTTGTTTCATTTCCGTCCTTTAAATTCCTTATATTTGAATTTTAGGATGTGTTGGGCAGGTTTGTATCAGG